CCCGGTCCCGGTCCGGTGGGGGGGCGCCCCTGGGGGTTGGGTCCCGTTGGGGGAAATAAAAAAAAGGGAAAAAAGGAAAAAAAAAAAAAAAAAAAAAGACTCAGTCATTTAGCTAAATCCTGCAAGCCGTGATAAGATTTTCACTGACATGTGATTCCAAGTTATTACTCATATCTTTCCTGTTTTTTTAACCAGTGGTAGGTTAAATTTAACAAAATATAACCTATCATAGGTTCAAAAACTAAAAAAGAGGAAGAATAAAGAGTCCAATTTAAAAATAATATTTCTGAGGGATTTGCTTTAAGATAATTTTCTTGAAATCCATTAGCAGTATTCCTCTGATGAAAATTCTTATAAAGTGCATAAAAAGTTTCAATAACTTCAAAAAATCAGTGATTAAAAACAGGAAATATGGTGGTGGTGATAACCTACTCCTACATACCATCCTGAAACCTTATCACCTACTTCAACATTTTATAACAAGCCACAAAAAATAACAAAAGTCAACTTGCTTGTAGCTTTAACAAGTACACAAAGATTTCACAAAGGTCATTAAAGAAAGGTATATGAGGGTACTTCAAAAAGTTCATGAAAATATTTGTATTATCTTTTAATTCCATTTTTCCATGAACTTTGTGATGTACTCTCATATTTGTTTTTGAAGCTATAACATATACTTAAATGTTTGGTTATTGAACCACACAAAATAAATTCTAAAATTGATTTGACAAAAAAAAACTGAGCTTTCTTACATACTATACTAAAATAAATTGCATATATGACTTGCTGAATAAAAAATGTCAAAATTAAATGTATATTTAAATATTTTTAATAATAAAATTTATATAGGCATATGTACTGTACACTAAGATATGTTTTAACTGCAAATCAATTCTTTTTATATATCAGAGAAAATAATGAAAAATAAAACCAATTTCTGCTGAGTGTATGAGACCATGAGAAAGGAGAATTGTTAGTCTAAAAAGTTTGGAAAATATCACTTAAGCAAAAATATGAATAACATAACCTTTCTAAATTTGAGCCCCAAGGTGTAATAAAATCATATTCTAAAACACTATATTATATTTTTTCAAAGTAAATATCTGAAAGATAAAAATTGCTTTGTTTATAAAACAAACACTCCAATAAATCATACAATATAAAATATTTAACCTTGAAGCATCATAAATTGTTAAGATAAGCATAAAAAAATTATTATACAGGAAATACGACATTAGAATCACTTAGATAATTAGGAAAAGAAAAGCAGCCCCTGACATCCAGGAGACATCAGACAAGACCACTCTGTGACCATGAGGGATCAAGAGAAAAACAAGACCACTCACCATTCATTACTGACCACACCAAAACATGAATATCACCCAAGCCACAATTAATATATATATGATTTTTTAAAATATCTCTCACAATAGAAAGTAAGTACACAAAGGCAAAGACGTAGGATGACTTGTTAATTATTATATCATCAGGACCTGAAATAGTATCTGAAGAAAATAGGTTTTGGTAAATATCAAATTAATTATTAAATACCAAAGAATCAAAATCACAGATACTATATTCCAACCACAGTAAAATAAAATTAGAAGTCACTGACAAAAAGATTTTGAAAACTAAAAACATATCTCTAATAATTAACAGGCAAAGAAGAAATCATAATGAAATGTATGAAACAGAACTAAACAAAAACACCTCATATTGAAACTTGTGGGACACACACGAATCTCAATCAAGAGGGAAACCTATAGTTTTAATTTATAAAATTTAAAAAAGAAGAAAAACTTAAAATGGTTTAATGATATAAGCCTTTGATGTTAAAAAGTTAAGAAAGTAGAAGAAAAAATAATGAGCCATCTTATTCAAGAGCAAAGGGTACCTTTCATTTATTCAAGTATACTTTTATCTTTAAGGGATTTGAAATTTTTCCATATAATGATTTTCTTACCAATTTAATTATTTTGATTTTTTGTTACTATTTTATATAGGCTCTCTTTTCATTATCTTTTCTAAGAGAGTATTATTTCTATACTTGGATTTTAGTATGCACCTTCTAAATTCTTTTACAATTGTATTCATTTTAATGTTGATTTTCTTAGGCATTCCAGGTATATTATCATGTAATCTAAAATAGAGACTATTTTACTAAACTTTTTCCAAGTTTTACACCTCTAATTGTTTGTATTTGTCTAACTGCATTGCTAAAACATCCTATATTGGTAAAAAGTAGTGGAGAGGGTGAGCATCCCTGCCTTATTCCTGACATTAGTAGAAAGGACTCTAGTGTTTCCCCATTAAATAATATCCTGGATTCTGGAGACATAGATTGATAGATTGATATAGATTTGAAGAAGTATGATTGGTTCATACTTCATAAATTTATCAGGAATAGGTGTTTAATTTTTAAATAAATATTTTTATTGAAGTATAGAGAACAGTACACAAATTATACATGTGTATTCAATGAATTATGATAAAGTAAACATAAAGTACACATGAAACTACTACCCACTTTAGGAAATATAATAAAGACAAGAAATAGAAGAAAAACACAAGCCACTCAAAAGCCTATTTCATACCCTTACCTAGTCAGTATCTTCATTCTCTTTTGTAAAGGTAACCACTATCTTGACTTCTGACACTATAGGTTACTGTTATCTGTTTTTGAATTTATATAAGTAGAATTATTCAGTAAATATTCTTTTCTGTCTTGCTTTTATTTCTATTATATTTATTCAGTAGTTTATTCTATTTCATTATTGAAATAGTATTCCATTGTTTGGCTATGACACTACCACAATTAATTTACTAATTTTACAGTTGATGTGAAAATGCTGCCATGAACAAACTAGTACATATCTTTTGGTGAATATGTGTAGGCATTTCTGTCAGGTATGTACTGATCCATAGGGTATGAGTAGGTTTAATTTTAATAGATACTGCAAGGAGTTTTTCAAAGTGGTTGTACCAGTTTTCATTTCTACAACCTACATGAGAGTTTCGATTCCTTCTCATCTTCTTTAACAGCTAATATTGTCAATAGCTATACAATGTTAAACAGCAGAGATATACAGTTAGGCATCTTTGTCTCATTTCTCATTGCAGGAGGAAAACTTTTCTTAAATCACCATTAAAGAGGATATTTTCATAGCTCTGGGAAAATTGACAAAGTTCTGATTAGTGAAGTTTCTGTCTTTTCCTAGTGTACAAGAGATTTTTACCACGAAGGTAAGTTGAATTTTATTAAATGATTCTTACATATCTACACTTACTGTGATATATTTTCTCCTTATTTCTATTAATTTGTGAATTACATTGATGGATTTTGAAGAGCTAAACCACTGCATTCGTAGGATGAACACAGATTGTTTGTGATCCTTTGTGCCTTCTCTTTCATTCTTGATCAGAGTTGCCAAAGATGCATCAATTTTATTAGTGTTTTCAAAGAATCAACTTTTGCTTTTGCTAATATACTGAATTTTTGTTTTCTATTACTTTAATTTTTGCCCTCATATTTTGAATTAGGGCTCTCCAGAGTAACACAACCAATAGGATGTATATATGTGTGTGTGTGTATAGAGATTTACTATGAGGAGTTGGCTCATGTGATTATGGAGGCTGGCAAGTCCCAAGATTTGCAGGGTGAGTTGGCAAGCTCAAGACCCGGGAGAGCCAGAGGTGTTCCAGACAGAGTCTGAAGGCCTGAGAATCAGGAGAACTGATGGTGTAATTCCAGTCTGAAGGCCAGCAGGCTCAAGAACCAGGAAGAGCTGATGTTTCAGTTGGAGTCCAAATGCAGAAAAAAGCCAATGT